GTAGTAAACCTTGCTGGATAAATTCTGTATGGTCTCCTGGATTTCCTTGGGCTAGGCCTGACAGGTGTCCTCTAAGCAGCTCAGGAACTACTGTGTTTAGGAATCATATCAGAGTCTCAGTGAGTCCAATAGAGACTCAAGTATAGCTATTTTTAGGAATGGGCAGCCTAATTTCTCTTGGAATTGAAAGTCAGGACAGGCAGTTAGTTAACAATTACCTTCACATGGTACCCCCAGCACCTGATGTTCAGAGCCATTCATGAATGAGTTACATTTGGGAGAGTTGGCCAGGAAAGAACCTTTCTAGAAGGGAAATAATATTACACATAGTCCTTGTTTGGCTACTGCCTTGTTTAGCGACTGTTTGCAGTTACAATGGTGATGAAAAAGTAACTTTATGACCAATCCTCACATTTACAACTTTCACCGGTCTGTAAAGTAAAGGAAAGCTTAAGTAAGATCGTAAGCACAGTCACAGTTTCACTTGGGGACCACTTTGCTTAACGACCAAGTTGCTGGTCCCAATTGTGGTCATTAAATGAGGACTACCTGTATTTGGAGAGAAATGCCTCCTGCCTCCCTCCCCCAAGTGGTATCCTCCAGACCAGCAGCCTTGATTAAGTTCTAAAGTAGCAGTAAATTCAATCTTGTACTCTTAGGGAATCACCGCTTATTGTACAAATCTGACCTTCCTCCTCTTTGCTCTCAGATCCAGCAATTTATCCAAGATCTGTCAGACATCTGGGCAGAAGTGAAGAAGAAAGAGCAAAATCGATCACAAACAGTGATTTCCAAGGAAATGTAGGGGAAAGCTGCCCAAAGACTTATACTGCTCATTTCCCAGCTCATCCTCTCATTTTGGGAGAGATGATATTCTATTTACTACAGTGTAATTCTCAATCTTCACTTTCCCTTCCTTCACACAAAACACGGTTATATGGTATCAAGAGTATATTTTGATAATAAAGCTTTGGTTTCTCAACTGTGTTTGGCTGCTCCATGTTTACTCAAACCAACTTCCTAACACAAACTTAGCACAAGCATTCTGAAGATCAGTTCTTTGAAAGAAGGATAGATCATCATCAGAATGAGCAGGGGGAAACATGATATGGATCAGAATTAACTATTTTTCAGGGCTTCAAACATTTCTCAGCTTGCCAGCATTTTGATAAGGGGAGTAAAACAAATCCATTGTCTTATGTTGCTGAAGGATATATTGTAGGATAAATAAAATAATAAAGTCTCCTTGGAGACTTCTATTACTTTGTGTATGTATCCATGCAGTTCTCTTGTCAACAATACAAAAAAAGTTTGTCCTTGCATTTTTGCAGGACTTTCTAAATTTCCCAGTCAAGCCTACAGCTCTGTGATTTTCTGGTGGTCTCCAGTCTTTGCTAACCAGAACTGCCCCTTCTTCCTTTTTTGCAATTAGCAAGGTCATCTACTTGGTCTTCTACCAAGCTATATATTGGTCTGTTCCCAGCCTAATAAGGATTCAGTAGTCAGTTTGAGAACATCTCCAAAGACACCTCCCTGTTCCCCACTTGTCTGGGAAGGAAGCAGGCAGCCCACCTGTTTAGGGAATGAACACCTAAAAGAATTTGAACAATTCTCCTCCCTAACAAGCTGAAAGATAAATTGGGTTCTAAAACTAAATCTAAATTCTTGAAATTTCTGTAAGCTTACCGTATCTCCTTTCAATCAATCTTATTTAAAAAGATTCAGTGGGAATCTCCTTTTCCATTCAGCTGGCTACCCAGAGCCTGACAAACTGGGCAAAATATCAGAACTGCAGTTCCCTTTATTGTTGCTTTGTAACATTTGCACAAACATAGGAGGGCCTTTTCTCTTTTCAAACTTTCATAAAGTATTCAGATATGTCTTGACTCAAAGCATCTAGCCTTGGTTCACCATTAACAGATGGATTACTGGGTATCTTGTGCTAATCTTGACATTGTAGCACCAGAGAAATACACCTCCAAATAAAATTAGTAATGAATCAACTTTCAGTTGAAGTCAAATAGGAATCTTTCAAGCCTTAATGAAAAAAAAATGAGGCAGGGTGGGGGCAGAATCCATGGAGGTTGCAGTTGGAGATAGAAAGACCACTTGCTACAAATAACAAACCAAGGAAGTGATCTGGATAATTTTCCCATATTGGATTTACAAAAGAGGCTTGTTAATGCTTTGAAGAATTTTGTGAGAAGGGACAAATAAAAAATGAAAAGAAATCAAGTTCTAGAAGATTTTTTCAATGGACTAAAGATCAAGATTGTAGAAAATAAAAGGAAGGAATATAAAGCTGGTTTACTTGATCAAGGTTAAAATAGATATGTTATCTCTGGTAACCCTTAATGGACTTTTGCTGACCAGGAATGAATGATGAGATTTTAAGATTTTACTTATAGTTAAGAGATGAGATATGGGAGGAGATCATTTGTTGCATTTTAAGAGAAGGTGATAAGTTACTAAAATTGTTTATACTTGTTGTGATGAAGGGGGAAGTCATTTCTTTATATATTTTACATATTTCTTTTATTTTTCTTTACTATTGTTGGAATATTTTTCTTATATGTTTACAATAAGGAAAGATTGTATAGGAAAGATAGCAATGCTGGTTCCTGTCAGAATAAACAAGAGAATATATCATGTAGCAACATCTATGTAAAGGAAGTCATATATCTTATGTATAGAAAAACACACGTATAGGAAAGATAAAATGCCCATTGTTTTAGTACTAGATAAAGTAACATTGGTTTAACTATAAAAAAGGAAGTTTGCCATAATTCTAAAATAAGGAAACATCTGTTTTAGCTGTTTAAAACAGCTGTTAGCTGTTTTAGCTAACACATTCCATTCTATTGATAATGATTGGCTAAATCTTTAAACTAAAAGTCCTATAAAAAGGGGACAGAGAAGCAGTTGTTTGCTGCTGCCTATCCAAAGCTAATGGATTGAATAAATTTTCTTTGACCCCCACTGATTGTCTGGTAAGTTTTATTAAATTCCTGGCCTGGGAAATGAATCAAGGGAAAAGGAGGTGTCTAATCCTTCTGACACTATATTCTTATTTTTTCTTTCTTTTCTATTTTTTTCTATTTTCCTTTTCTGCACCTTCTATTTTTTTCTTTTTAAAGTTTCTATTCATTTTTTATCATTGTAATTATAATTTTTAATAAAATTACTGTTAAAAAAAAGAAAGGCTACTTGCATTCTCTGACATTGTTCTTCCCTGTAAGGTGGCTTGAAAAAAACTTCATTGGAACGAATGAGAAAGTTTGCGAATGTAGTTGCCAGAAGAGAATTTAATCATACTAATATATGATCATTAGTTTTATACAAGCAGACTAATGGGGGGGGGGAGGGGGTTTAGAAAAAAAAATTTGAATTGCTGAGTAGAAGGGGCAATTGCTTTCCTGTGCCATGCATAAAAAATGCACACAGGAGTATAGGTGTCCGTGAATGTGTACAAATGGATCTGGCTGAAATGGATCTGATTCATGCAAAAACCTAGAAAATTAACCATAGAAGAATAAGCCTTTCTGGCTTAAAATGGTTCTCCGACCTGGAAAGGACAATCCAGCTGGATGAGGGGGCTTGCAGGAAAGTACAGGCAAAAGGAATGCCCCTTATTAAATGGGAGAAGAATACAACTAGATATTGGCACAGTCCCTTCACATTTGGGCTACTAGCAGCAGCCGAGAATGGCTGGCACCTGGAGCATTCCACAGTGCGGGGGGCCTGCTGAAGTCCTGAGGAGGCTTTCTCCAGGCAGCTGCGATAGGCAAGCAGTTTTTGCAGAGCCAAAGAGAGCAAAGCACAGAGCTCTTTCTCGTTGCCTGAGCCACAATTCTCCTCTGCACCCAGTGCTTTGACCTGAGCAAAGCCAGCTAGGATGATGAGAACACAAGGGGCACAGCTTTCCAGAAGCTCGCTTATCCCACAGATTCAGAATGCAGCAAAGGGTAGAGCCTCGGAAAGCAGCAGGCACGGAATGTATCCCACTGCCGTCATCGCTCAGCTCTGCAGTGCAATCAGGTGGCACTGATGACGCAGATTCAGCCAAGATGCGTGGAGCAGGAAAATATCTCATCTCTGGAGGCCCTGATGACTCATGCCAGCTTGCCTCATTCACTTGGAGGCTTAGGGGCCACCACACATTTTGCAGCATATTCAGGAAGTGAAAAACATCAGCAAGTAGATGCTGATGCAATTTGAAGGACATCTTTTCAGAAAAATGAGAATGCCTCCCATTCATCTGGATTCCATGGCAAGGTGGGCCACGCTCAGCAAACACTCCAGTCACTTAGGAGGGAATATAGAAACACCACCAGGTATTCTGTCTCAGTCTCAAGCTAGCGTAGCCCTAACATTAGTTACTTCCTTGGGCATGATGTTCTACATCACACACATACTGGTCTGGATCACACATTACACTAATTGCTGCCCCAGCGTAGGGTAGTTTGCAAATTATGGTATATAGTTTGGTGAGTTGTGCAGACCCACCCAACTGTGATTCATTCTATAAGCCACAGTTTAGTATGTGAACCAAGTAATTATCATTTCCGATCCATTTGCTACCACAGTCTATCCCAAGAAAACGTATGAATTGTAGTTCGTTGAAAATGGTCAGGATTCTTTTTACAACACCTTTGAACATGCAAACAAAAATACCCAAAGAATCCCGTTCTTCCCAGCAAATGACTTATAATTCAGTTTAAGTGTGAAGTGCAGATTATTTTTGTAAATAGTTTTGCTACATAGACCCAAGCAGGAAGAGCTAAAGTCAAAGAACTAAGCAAAGGGCAGCTATGCATTTCTCTTCCAAATGTCAGATAAATTTATATCTAAATGTATCTAAAACCACTGACCTCTCTCCTTGAGAATCGGAGACTCAGAAGAGCATGTACAACATCACCAGAACATTTATAGTTCTCTCTGATATTATCCGGCTTTCATTCTTTTCCTATGGAAGGCTTCATCAAGCTGATCTAAGATACAATGAAGTTTAAATTGTTCCTCTTCTGAAATTGTCCAATAAATTGTGGGATAGACAGTATGCAGAGCATAGCAAGCTTTTAAAGCTTGATTAAGGAAAAAAAAACAATAGAAAATCAGTTATAGAAATAAAGGCAAAAAGTATGTTAATCTTCCTTTAAAATTTCTGTAATATATACTATTAAGAAAATTAGGATCCTGGTTGTTTAAGATCTATGTTGTTTAAATTCTTTTAATGATGATTATATGAACTAGGACTAGATCCTTCTCTCATACAAATCTAAATAGATTATGTTATAATTTGCTTTGTCTTTAAAACAAAAAGGCATTAGATGAGAATGTTTCTGTTGGAAGCCAATCAGAGATGTAACTATTGGTTGAAATTGCAAAGCACGCCCTCTGTCATCTTCTCAAATGAAACACCCGGGCTTTTCTGCTAAAGATGTTAAATAAGAACATGCAATTAAATTTCAGATCAGTGCTGAAGAATGAGTAATGTCGGCATTACATCCTGGTATGAGCCACAATGTAACAACTTCAGCATCTTTAAAAAGTAAATTGTTTGAATCAGGTAGACATAGATAAAAGAGTTTGTTTTCTCTTTGAAGACATTAAAGCTATTCTGTCCACAGCAGGAGAGCAAAGTTTGGGCTCCATTCATGCAGCTTATAGAAATTCATGCTGTGAAATGAAATTCATTAAGTGGCAGCAATAGTGAAATCTGCCAAGGAATATATATTGGATGTGCATCTCCCAGCCAGCATACAATTGAATGAATGAGACTGAAATATCTTCAGTGCTAATAAT